ACCTGGTGTTGATAACATTCCATATCACGTTGTCCATGTCAGCGGATGGATGCGATCCTGCAGTCTTTCCAACTGTGCCGAATCTTTGCTTGTGCCCCATCCATGTGGAAACATGGCATCGTAGCCTCCCTTGTCACGTCCATGAACAGCCGAACGCATTCCGATGGAATCCCGAGATGAACTGGCATGACAACTTTCTTCTTGCCACACACACACCTTGTTACCAGCGTCCCAGGCTAGAGGCGGCCCCGGTGCTGGCCCAGACCGGGCCGACTGCGCGCTACATTACTCAGGGCAGGCGGCTGGCAAGGAGACTCCAGGGAGGAATCTGCAAGGATGTCGCTCAGCAGCGCTGCACCCAAGTGCCGACAAGGACGCCCACTGACCCGATGAGATGATAAGCTACGAACGTTCACGCAATGTTGGATGTATGTAGCCGAAAGCAGGGCATAGAAAGGCAAAGCAAATGTTTTCGTCAACGAGTTTTTTCAAATTGTACCGTGACGAATCTGCTAGCTGAGGTATGCTGAGGTGTCCCTATTCCCCATGTCCTTAACGAACCGTAGTCCTCACTGGACTCGGACGGGCGAAAGCGAAAGCGAAAGCGAAAGCGAGAACGGATACGCGCTGCGCCGCGGCTGCAAGTAGTAGGCCGGGCCATCGTTCAACCCATGCCGTCCAGGCAGAGGTGCGGACCGGGGCGGGCGTGGCCTGCACACGGTGGATCCCCCTGCAAAGTAACCTTATAAAATGGGGTAAGGTAACCCCTTATGAAACGGTTTTCTTGTAAGAAAGAGGGGGGTCAACTCCCCCCCAGTTTACAAGGATTCGGTGATTGGGCAGACATTACCGTTCCCATTTTATAAACCCGCCGCCCCTTGAGCGAGTGATCGAGATTGCTCGAGGTCGCAGGACCCGCGAACCCTAGTCGCTTGCCACTGCGACCGTGATAGCGACTTGGCTCTTGTCGGAAAGCTAGCTAGCGGCAAATCACTACACCCCGACGACAGCCTCGTC